CTTCTTCTGATTTTTTTTTTTTTTTTTTTTTGTCACCTCTCTAATCTCTGTTTCTTCGAGACAACAATGGCGAGCGGAATCCTGAGGAGGGCAATAGCTAGGGTTTCTGCAACTCCACCTTCAAGATTCGTTCGAATTCGAGCACATGCTGCGGCTGCCGAAGCGCAGCAAGTTGAGCAGAAAGCGGCCGCCTCAACGAACCTAAAGACATTCGCAATCTACCGATGGAACCCTGATAGTCCTTCTAAACCAGAGCTTCAGGAGTACAAGATCGATCTCAAAGAGTGCGGCCCCATGGTGCTAGATGCGCTTATCAAAATCAAGAACGAGGTCGACCCTACTCTAACCTTCCGCCGTTCGTGCCGAGAGGGGATCTGCGGCTCCTGTGCGATGAACATCGATGGATGTAATGGATTGGCTTGCTTGACCAAGATTCCGTCCGGAGCTTCCTCGACGATTACGCCGCTGCCTCATATGTTCGTGATCAAGGATCTGGTGGTGGACATGACCAATTTCTATAACCAGTATAAGAGTATTGAGCCGTGGTTGAAAAGGAAGAGCGAGCCGCCTGTGCCTGGGAAGGAGATACTTCAGAGTAAGAAAGATAGGGCTAAGTTGGATGGAATGTATGAGTGTATATTGTGTGCTTGCTGTAGTACATCGTGCCCCAGCTATTGGTGGAACCCAGAGTCCTACCTCGGACCAGCCGCTTTGCTCCATGCCAATAGGTAATTCGTTCACTTTGGTTCTCTGTTTTGGTTGTTCCATGCCTCTCTTTTTGTTAGAAATTAATAGAAAACAGGGACTGTTTAGAGGAATCAAGAAGCTACATGTGAAGGCTGTAGAATTCCATGATATAGTTAGGTTACGTCTTCTTAGTGCTTAGAAAGTGATCTCCTTCTCCTGCTTGGGAATTTGTCCCTTGCATGCATGGTAGAACTTGTATGATTTGATTGATTGCTTATTTTTATAGAGAATCGAGTAACTTAATTCGGTATTTATTATCTATGATTAACAAAGTTTTGATATGCCTTGGTAGACTTGATCTGAAACTCATTTGTTTGCTCTAGTTTCTTGGTGAGTTTCAACCTTAGTCCTTACTGATGTTGCATAAAAGAGTTTTTTATTCACAAAAATTTCGCCAAGAATATTAGTCTTCATTGGTGACGGCTGGAACCCAAATTGGACATATGCTTCCTGCAACTGTCAAGAGCTTAGCCTTTTATAAATGAAGTTAGGATAACTTTATTCAACATTTTACTGGCACCCTACATGATGGAGAAAGATGTACTTTGAATGGAACCAATAACTATGGTTACCAATGTAAATGAAAAAGGCGAAAGGGTAATGAGTTCAAGTCATGATAATCACTTACATAGGATTCGTATACCATAAGTTTATTTGATAACGGAACATAGTAAGGAAGGTGTAGCATTTGTCTCATGTGAAAGAGTTTGGTACAAGTTTACCCAAACTAACTTAAAAAATGAAATTAGAAGATCAAAAACTTGGAAGCAATGAACAGTGATGAAGTTTTACATCTATCTAAAGAATCTTTGTATTCAACCCTGTATTCGTATATAATTCATGGCTTCATAGGTTCTTTTTTTTTTTTCCCTTCTTCTTAAAGAAGGCTTCATAAGTTCATGTTGTATATCTTTTGTAATTGCATGATTTATTTGTTCCTATCGTTCACCTCACAACTTCCTATCTATCACCATGACTTTGCAAGAAGATTGACACATATGACTTTGATTAAATCGACTTCAAAAGCATTCTTAATTGTCTTATTGGCTGTTTTCTTTTTATGGTTTTTACTGAAGACATGTTTTCAGTTACAAAAGGGCCCCCTCTAATCCCCTTTGTGCATGCAGGTGGATAAGCGATAGCCGTGATGAATATACCAAAGAAAGACTTGAGGCAATAAATGATGAATTCAAGCTCTATCGTTGTCATACTATTCTGAACTGTGCCCGTGCATGTCCCAAGGGTTTGAACCCTGGAAAACAGATTCAAAATATCAAACAACTTCAGCTTGTGGGTTGAGCCTAAGTTTCTAGGTACAATGAAGCACAATAATGTTCTTTTCATTCAGTTCGGATATATTTTGAGGAGATGAACTCTGTGATTTTGATATAATAACTTGTGGATCACTTACTTTCCACCCATTCTGTACTTACTTATCATTTGGGTTTGCAAATAAATGTTGATAGAAACCTTGTTTTCTTCTTGAGTTGCTGTATCAAGATCTTCCTTTATTCATCACATTTCACTAAACATGGCTTGTCTGAAAATCAAATATATATGTTGGTGTTATTTTGTAATAGTAATACAGGGGAGAAAGGTTCTACTGGAAGAACACGTACCCAGGTTTCGCATACCTTTCCCGTTTCTTTCGATGACCTTATGTGTCGAGAATGTGTTCTGAATCTAACTTGGGCAGGTTTTCGAAGTAATTGTCAGAAAAACGATAAACAAACAAAAACAGGAAGAAGGTAACAAACCATATTGAAGAGGAGCATGCAGTTTTCTTGTGAGGTATAGAATACTAACCTCATGTGGTTCTTATGACACTTTTAATCTCTGTTGAAACTAAACAAATGATTGTAAATACAGTGTAGAACTGAAAAGTATTAGCACAGCAGATGTGGGATGATAATTACAATATTCATTAATGTGGCATATAAGATTGTTTTATCATATAGTTAAACCAGGCCATGGAACCTATATAATGTGTGGCTTCTGCTGCTGGTTCTTCACCAACTGAGCAGCTAATCTTTTACCAAATTCGTAAGGCAATTCTTATTGGTTATTACAACACTATGAAGTCGTCATTATCATCAATGCTTCCCTTGTCCTTTCTAGTTTTGGTGATCTTTATGTTGATGGAAGTCAGTTCCAGAGTTCATGCAGGGACTCGCCTATTGTTCCTTGTAAATAGACGAGACTTCGAATCGTCTCAGTATGTTACGGTATCAGGTATGCAACCATGAATGTCGATACTCGATATCTACGAGTACTCGATGTCACCATTAGGTATTTTTTTTTTATATGTGAAGGGGTGTGTTTAAGCTTCCATTATGTTTTCTAAACTTTTGTGTCTATAAGCCTCTTAATATGTCTACCTGATGAACTTTTTTAAGATAATTATTTTGGATCTCATTTTCATTTTAATCTGTCAAATTTCAAAAAAAAAATTTAACCCCACTTTGGTAACTTCAATTTCTATTTGGTTTAATCTACTTTTAAATTTGTGTGACTATTTGGAATAATTTTATTAAAATCTATAGTTTTAAATGAATATTTTAAAATTTGAAAACAAAAATAGAGTGATATTAACCATTCATAAGAAAAAAGATCAATAATCAATAAGATGTCGAAAGACATTAAACAAGTTTACACAATATTAATATAAATCGAACTCAAAGCTAAATCCGTTTCAAAACCCATGCCCTAACCAAACTCATAATTTAAGCCTGATAGTGATAATTTGTGACATTAATAAGTATCAAATTTACACGAACGTTGACTTTATGATTTCCTAATAATGGCTATCAACATTTTTCATAAATTTGAGATTTTCACATAATATCAACAAACTCTTGATAATAACTGTGATCTTTCTGTCAATGATCAAAATAGGTAGTGAAATAAAAGAACATAGAATAAAAACTGGACTTGTCAAGAATTGAGACAGCCAAATCTTGACTAAACAATTATGAAATCTTGACTAAACAATTATGAAATCTTGACTAAACAATTATGAAATCTTGACTAAACAATTATGAAATCTTAACCAGAGAGGAACTTTCTAATATCAGAAAATGTCTAATGTAGGGTGCAATAACGACTGTGACACTGCCTGCTGTAACTGTGATATCAATAAACAACCACCTCTCTGCGTGCAATGCTGCCAAGAGCCTTGACAATGCCAATGCCTACTAAACATGCTCAGCTACTACTACTTCACTCCTTTTCTGCATTATTTTGTATGTGATCTCAATTTATTCTCGCAAACCTAAGCTAAGATTGAAGTCGTGACATCTAAATACCTGGTTCTTTCTTGGCCAGAGGGAAATGTTTACAGAAACAATCTCTTCCTTATTTTCTCAACTGCTCACAGCTACAGTATGTCTTATAAACAGTCTTGGAGTATAATTTAGAAAGGCCTTTTGGATCTACAACAACCAAAAAAAGGCACATCCTAGCTGATAGGTAGGATAAGAAAATAATCAGATTAATGGATTCAAAACCTCCTTGAAAGAGCAAGAAATACTGCGGCAGATGAGATCTGAACCCGTAGATCAGCAATATCGACATCGTGACCACCTTCAACCAGACCCCATTTATCCACCTGCAAACGTTCGACCATTGGTTCAGAATATGTTATGACATTTGCTTCTTAATATGACATTATCTGAGTTGAAAAAATATATGTATGATAAAGAATGAGGGAGAAAGAAGTTAAACCTGCAGATCTTCTTCGAGCCTAATCAACTCGATTGCTTCTTCGATCTGCAACTTTCCACGAAAAATTGCAATAGCAATTACTAAAGAGTGTGCAGCTGATGCAATGGCATCAATTGATGCCAATTCACAGTCATCTGTTTTCCTCAGAAGATCTTCAACAGCCTTTATAAGACCGTCCTCCTGTTTCCCACCAAAAAAACTGGAATATACAATAGGCTTAAAGCCAAATTCTAAGCGCACCCAGTCGAGTAAAGGATCGATTTTCTCCACTTGTCGTTCTACAAGGAAAATGTAACACCAATTATGTACTGAAACCTTATTCAACTTTTATGAATATTCAGTCCTAGATAATAATCTGTTTCATCAAACAAATTGGTCAATTTTCAATTCTAGTTCTTTATGTTTTTGGATTGCAAATAAGTAGTTCAAGCAATTGTCAAGAAAGTATCATCAACTTCCAACAGGAGATGCAAAGAGATACAGGATATATATCTTACTATTCCATGTTTACATGCAATATTTTCGCTATGTTGCTACATGCATGGTCTGGCATTCAAAATTTCTGGATCTAGACATGACCTCTTACCAATAATAATAATAAAAAAAGAAAGTGATTTATCACTTAATTCAGGATCTAGATCTTATTGCAGCCACAGCCAAAAATTTTGGAAGTTTCAACTAAGAAAACCCAGGGATCACTCATATCATGAAGTTTCAACTAAGAAAACCCAGGGATCACTCATATCATGATGCAGATGTTTTTGCAGCTATAACAAAAAATTGTGGTTGATCACTCAATCAGGATATTGATGTTATTGCAGCTATAACCATAAATGTCGCGAAAATCTACCGAAGGAAAAGTGGTTGATTAGTGATATCAGGATGTAGATGTTGGGAAATTCTACTCAACCGATCTCCCAACTTTTGGAGTCCTCTAAGTTAAATGTGTTCTACACAGGAGTTATGAACTTAAACTAACCAAATCCGAATGAGAAAACCTAAAAGACCACTCAATCTATAGATCATATTCTGTTGATCAGCCGTTTGACAAACTAGTGAATGGAAACTCAAGTAAATCTCGTGCTCAATGCATCTAGTAAAGTTTGGACTCATATGATTACTTGACATACCATAAACTCCACTTGTTAGAACATTGTCATCGGGAGCACGACAGAAAACCAGATCCTGATTGAATTTCTGCACTAAATGTTCGATAATCTTGGGCCTGGTAAGAGGCACTCTTTCCAATGCGGTACAGGCAAGTTTCATTAGAGGCATTGAGAAAGGTCTAATCCCATCGGTTTCCTACATCGATCAAATCTTCATTTCAATCCAGACAAACGAAATTTCAATAACCTTCCAAAAAGGATGAGGATAACTTCAGGAGCAAAAGATAAGAGAAACCACCTGATATTCCCACTCAGCCGCAACTGCCTTGGCAAGGCCAACAGTCGGTAGCTTCAGCGGCCTCTTCGAAGGAGTCTTCAGCGTCCGGTAATCAAGCATCACCGTCCATCCATTCCGATCATCTGCCTCTCTCGTAGTCACTTGCTTGTAAAACCGCTTGCCTACGACAGAACCAGTCATGAACGAGGTCGGCATCGTCACCGAAGAATTGGAATGGGATGAAGAATCAGCTCCGGATTTCGAGTTTGGAGCCTTAACGAATATAGGATCTTCTCTAGCACTGTCCTCGGAGAATGTGAAGGAGGCGGCGTCGGCTTGAGATTGTTCGGCGGCGGTGGCGACACTGGTAGTAAGCGTACGCCAGCGAAACGAATGAAATGGAATTAGCGTGGGATTGGCGATTCTGATTGATTTCGCCATTTTTGCAAGAATTGAGCTCGCCATTGTCTTGCTTCTTCCCCCGTTTCTGTGTTCTGGACGATCTGTACTAGGGTTTTAGAAATTGAGGAAGAAGAGAATTGCGATAGACGGACCGGATCGGTTTAATCGACTCGGCCTCGACTCAGACTCGGACGGTTGATTTTCAAAATGGTCGGCAGAATTTTATAGATTAAAAAAAAAATTAAATACTACTTTAGTTTCTTATTAATTTAATAAGAATTTGAGAGTATATTAATTTTATTTAAATAATTTTGAAATGTATTTCCAATTAAATAAAAATAATAATTTTATTTTAAGATTTCAAATGATACCATTATTATTATTATTTAGTATATAATCTCACAAATTTCTATTAAAATGGGTTCTATTATTAAAATAAACTATACAAAATATTCGATCATCGTATCAAATACGTATATATTTTTTAAAAATGTGATAGCTTTTTTAAATCTAGTTACTGACTCGAATCAGGTATCTACTTCGAATCATAAGGTCGTTTTAATAATTATTTTCGTACGTTGATAACAGGTACTCATAAGCCTCAATCGTGTGACATTAGTATCAATGGTCACTAGTCAATTGGTGAATCGTGGATTTAAACTCAGGGCTCGGGTTGAATATGTTCGACATATCGGCCTCTAGAATTGTAGGCCACTTGCTCGATGGTTATGGGGATGACATGGAGAATCTCGAGGGAATACAAATTCAATCACGTGGTAGCTATGATGAAATGGGCTTTTGCCACGTGGAGATTATGCTAGAACCTGTTGTATAGGATGTCCAAGAATGGTTTAAATATTATGTAATTATCTTATAAAATTTGAAATTATTGTAATTAATGTAATTACTCAATTAATTCAATAATTACTTCATCTTTAATTACATTCCATCCACTAAAAATTAGAAGTTTTAAAGGATTGAGAGAACCAAATTTAGAAGGAAAAGAT